GGAAGAGGATGTGGTTAGCCTTACAATGGGCTAGTGTGGTTCAAATTTAGCTTTGGCAACAATCGAACCTAAAACCTCTCATTTACAAGTTTTGTTGTAAGTGAGAAGTTTTAGGTTCGATTTTGTTTTCACATGATCTTAGGTTGTTTTTTTATTTTGAACAAATGATATTATCTAGACCAAGGGAGAGGGAATGTGCTTAACCTTACAATGAATTAGCAATAATATGGTTTGAGATTTTGTTTTCACATGATCTCCCTACAATAATATGAATTCAAATTTGGGCACCATTGCACATATCAATAAAACCGTTAAACATCATGTTATAGGGAGATCTTATGAAAACAAAATCTCAAACCATAAGTTAGGATAGGAAGTACGATGCCAATGGTCAATCGCATCATCTAATCACCTCTATGATCCCAGACACCAAATGAAGTAGATCCAGCGAATCAAACGACTCCACCTTGACACATAAATCCAAAAGAGTTAGCACACCAAAAAAAAATATTAAAATCAAGCAATCTCCTATAGAGAGCAATCAAACTAGCAAATTGTCCTATATGGAACATTTATTGTCACTTTTGTTTTCTTTTCAAAATGGGACCAACTGGTGGCGAAATAGTTGACTATCCTGGGAGCCAGGAAGACTCAAAGAGGGATTTCAGCTTTCCTATAGCCATCATCATGTGATTTATCAGCGCTAGGAACTGAATCAGAAGGTGCCGTGTGACATATGGGTCTGTGATTCATCCAACCACTAGGCCATTCCGTAGTGGTTGAATAATTACTGTCACTTCAAAAATTTCAATTTGCACTCTTTTAAGTGTTTTTTTTGGGCTAAATATAGAAAGTATAAATTGAAAAATGAGAATTTTGAAGTGCTAGGAACAATTCTCTAAATATAATATGAGTAGATTAGTAATATCATGTGATTGTGTTGCAGTCCCACAATCGCAACAAGAGAATTTTGTCTTACATATTAATGCCCTACAATTTTTTAATTTTTTAGAAATTATGATTTTTTTTATGAAAAGAATACGATATTCATTAAGATGACAAAGACATGTACAAAAAGGAGGATAGGGTACATAACTAGACCTCGATAAAAACCTTGCCGAGACTTTCAACCTGGTCGAACGAAAAAAGAGTATCCCACATAAAAACTATCCTTAATATGTACCAAAATTACATAAGGTTATCTTCCAAAAGACAATCTAGAATCAAATCTGGAAGAGCTTCGAACCATGAAACCTTAGTAGTTCTCCCAACACCTGAGTGAGCCAATCTATACGCAACATTGTTCGCCTCTTTTCTGACATGATTCAGCTCTAGCTGAGCAAAACCCATGAGGAACTTTCTGGTATCATTGACTAGAGGAGCAAGAAAAGAAACATGTCCGCTCCTGTTGTTCAAAGCAGCCATTGCAATACTATAGTCACCTTATAATAATATTGCCCCGTTAGAATCAGGCAATTTTTGGATAAATATCGCAGCTTGTCTTGCTATAAGGAGCTCAGCGTGCAGAGGAGAATAGATATTTGATAGGAGCATATTTATGCGACTTAGTTAGCTTGTTTTTGTGCATTTATGTTGTTATTTCTTAGTTGATTTAGTATTTCAAGCCATTTTCGTGTGGTTGTAGGTACAAAGGGTTAAAGAGGCAAAAAAGTGCATTTTGGTGCCTTTTGGAGCAGTTTTGGGCATGGAATGGATATCACATGCATAGAACAAAGTGGTTGGATGAAATTAAAGATCTAAAGAAGCTAGGAATGTGCCAAGGAAAGGAAGAAAATAAATTGAGGACCAAGGAAGACAAGGAAACCATTAAGAATGAGGAAGGACTAGTCAAACTTGCCTTATCTTGTCGTTACCTTTCCTAAAGATTTAGTCACACGAAAGGTTCCTAATACTTTAGGACATTTCATTACATATTCTACAATTCCTAAACCTGCCCTAAAAGTCCAAGCCATACCATCCTTCACCATTTCTTTTCCTTGCCGTGCAAGGGAGCCATTCCTTTCCTATTTTTTGCCATAAATCACTCCATGCCGTGCACATTCATCCATGTTTCCTCATTGCACTCATTTGCTGCACCATTCCACTTCATTTCCTTTATCTACCATGTGCACAATATCCTTTCACCTCCTTGTACTTATTGATTCACCACTTACTCACCTTTCCACCCATGCCGTGCACCACCATTGTCTCCTTCATTATTTCTGATTTCATGCATCAAAACATTGAATCATTGCACTCAATTGCTGCACATCTCTTGTCCCCTTCACCCATCAGATTTCATACAACTTTTACCTCCACCACATGCACTCATTGATGCACCATCCACCACATTTGGAATCCCATGCCGTGCATCATGAGTCTTGCTGCACCTTTGACTCATTTCTGCACCATTCCACCTCTCTTTCCTTTCTCTACCATGTGCACAATCATTCATATTCCCCACTTGCGTTCATAGCTGCAAAACCACTCCATTTTACCCTCATGCTTTGCATCATCACTTCACTTTCACCTTTGAATCATTTCAACACCACTCCATGCACTCATTGCTGTAACACCACTCCATTTTACCCCCCATGCTTTGCATCATTACTTCATTTTCACCCTTGAATCATTGCACACACCACCATTTTTCCCCTTCTTGCCATGCATTTCCTCTATAAAAAGAAGTGTGTGTGGTAGCCATATAGTTTAGTTTTGGCTTGATCATTCATTCCCATTTCAATACAACCTTCATCCAAACACATCCATTCATCTTCACATCCATTCCTCCATACAAACAAACCTTCAAACACTCACCAACACCTTGTGCCGTAGTAAAGGAAGGGAAGGAAAATGCTTGGACGTGCTTGCTGTCCAACTTGGATCGTTGGAGCGTTTAGGTGTTTTCTTTCTTTTGTTTCCAATGTTTAAATTCATTTTCTTTTGTTTTGTTGTGAATATGAGTGGCTAAACCCCTTTTAGCTAGGGGTGATTTCAAAGCCATGATTATGTGTGCAATATAATTTGATAAATTCCAGTTATGAACTCTTGAATCGTGAATGCAATTGGCTTAACTATTTGATTGATAACTTATTTGTATTTGTTAATTAAGGGCCGACGCTAAATTGGCATGCATAAATCCGTTGCTAGAATATAAGGAAGTTTCACATAATCGTTACAAACTTATATTCACATGTAGTGAAGGTCGCTTATAAACGATCGCGTTAAGTTCAATTCCTAGCATAAGTGACATGATGTCATAGCTGCAAGTGCTTTGTCAATGCTTATGATTTTCATTAAACGTAATGATCTTTGATTGTATCTCTATTATGATGTCATGTAAGGAACTTTTGAAGAATGTTTTGGGTTGTCAAATGATGTCATCCAATCCAATAAAACAAGGAAAATCTAAGAGTTAACTAGTGATGTCACGGTTCATTTGGAGCATTGTCGTTCATAATTCAATGAAGTAGTAACTGGAAATCAAGTTATTTGCATACATGTCATGTGTGGAGAAAAAGCCTCTAGCTATCCCATCCATCATCTTATTTCTCAAATTTGTTTTACAATCTGTCTAGTTTTTCATACTTGTTTGTTTGTTTCAACTTCATCCAAATCAAAACCCCCCTTTTAGTTTCTTGTTTCAAAGTGTTTCAAATCTGTTTTAGTTTGTGTTTTTAAGTGTTTTGATTCAAGTAAAAGTCAATTTTCGTCCAAAGTCATTCCTAGTGTCTAGTTTAAGTTTATTTGGTTGTTTTAAGCTGTTTTGAGTATTTTAAGTTTGCTTTGAGTCTTGTGAGTCTTGTTAAGTGTTTTTAAGTTTAGTTTTACGTTTTTGAGTCAATTTAGAGGTTATTAGTAAGCCCTCATAATTCCCGGTCCAGAACGATCCTTACTTATACTTGTATTACAATTGTCAAAAGAGGGTTAAATTTGTGTGTTAAGATAATTTTCGCATCAATATTCTCAAGGTTCCCAGATGTAGCAGCCAAAAAATTACCGTTATGATCACGAATAACCACACCAAAGCCACCTATTTTGTCATTCCATTCCAAGCTTCGTCAAAATTGCATTTGACCCAACCATTATTAAGAGTCTTCCACCTCTGCCTCGTCCTCGCCATCTTCGACTTTGGTGGCGCTTGCCATTGATGTTACGACAGCAACCAGAACCAGCTCTTGGCACATAGGAATATCTCAATAGGGGCGTAAAAGATATGCTCCAAATAAGATCGTTTCTAGCTTTCCACAAGCTCCATATGGTCATGAACATTAACTCCAGAGTAGTATTCGAGGAACTTTAAGCACATTTAATTAACCAATTGCACATGCTTAGTTACTGCGCATCATGCACTCGAAGTCCGACACTCGCTAGCCAAACCGCTGAAGCCATATCACAATCGCGAAGCACATGTTCAATTGTCTCAGGCTTCCATGTACAAAAGAAACATTCTACATTTTGAAGCAACCATAGTCGCTCTAACTTGGTGCGAGTAGGGAAAGCATCAAGAACAACATTTCATATGCATATCTTCACTTTACCAGGAATTCTAGCATCCCAAAGCCTCTTCCACAATAGTTCCTCGCCCCTACTCAAACTCAAGCGTCCTTATTCCACCCCCATTAACACCGTATCATGACGTGCTAAATGATAAGTCACTATAACAAAAATGGCCACTGCGCACAATAAATTATATGTGCTCTTTGAGGCAAAAAAACACCAACAATTGTGCTCATAAACCAATAGCAACAATGCATCAACTAAATTTGTATCTGTGCCCTCTATGGGCGTCACCATTTGTCAAAGGGCACAATAAACTGTTTGGTGCTCAAAGAGACAGGCACAAATGGACCACTATTTGTGTCTGTTTTTTACAACTTTATTAGAGGACCTTTTCCAGCCATATTGACACTTATAGTATAATTGTGCCAACTAGAATTAAATATAATAAAAAAAATCAAAATTTAAAAAACTGAAACTAAATTGAGCAAATGCAAAAATTTAAATTTTCATAAAATGAAAACAGCCTACAACCATGAAACCAACTTTCACTTTCCCAATCTCACAAACATATATTATAATGTTACATATTTTATCTCTAATACAAAAAGACTTGAAAACAAACATTTTTGGACAGATGCATCTTCCCCAACAAGCCTTGCACTTCACCAAACCTTTGCTACTCCAGAAACGAATGAATTAAGATAACATGTGCAATATTTGAACCTCTCACAAAATTCAAACTTTGAAGCAGAAAAAAGGGGAAGAATCTTACTTCACAAATCTTATACAAATATGCCGAAAATTCTCTCAACTAGCTTCTGCCTTATTCCTATTGCAGTGAACCAGAACCTTCACAAATAATTTGATCCTCGAGTCAAAGATGGTCCAATCTGCAAAAACCTAAGAACCATTAGATCAATTAAATAGAATCTGTGAAACCAAAATTTCAAGAATTCGAAAATTAAATTTCACAAACCCTAATCTAGAATTCGAAAATTAAATTTCAAAAACCCTAAATTACATTCTTAAGGGGTGGAAAAGTTACCTTAAAAAGAAATAACGTGAAGAGAGGATGAGGATTGGGAGCAAACAATTACCTTGACTTCTACTTCCAAATAAAGCTCTCTTAGGTCCTTCATTATTGAATCCAAGTAGAGTTCTCATGTCCCTAATATCGTGTGCTTTCCAGACTCCTCAACTTTAGTGATTGCAAGAGTATAACTCTTACTTATCTTTCTTAGTCCTTCCACCATCTTTGTCAGCATACATGGATTTAGTGGCTCGGTTGCTGTTTTCACAACTGGCAGAGTATTGAACTGAAGAGGATGGAAGATGTACACATCATCATCATAATATATATTAAGGTATCAGCAGTAGAAACACAAAACACTCTTCAACAAAAAGCATTTAAGCATCTAGAAAAGTCATTCTAATCCATGTAATGTCAAACTTAAACTTTTTAATGCCTATTTCCAATATGTATAAACTGTTTTAATTTATATGAACAAATTTTAATCTAATTTAATAAAAAAATTCTAATATAATTTGATATAATATATATGTCACCAAGGATTGATCATATTACCAATTATCAAATCACATTCTCTGTTCTCTATCTAACATTTTTCTACTTAGTTTCCAACTCATTTCAAACTTATTCAAAAGGCCAATTCAGTCTACTTATCTACATGCTGTTGGGTTTTCCTGTGCGAGTTTAAAGCAACTAGCTTACCACCAAAGTTCAAATCTTCACCAAAACCCCAACACAATTCTCTTTCTCTCTCTCTCTCTCTCTTAACATTTTCCACTCAGTTTCCAACTTATTCAAATGCAAAGGAAAGCTGAATCTACATGGAATAGCTAAAGCTCAAATCTTTACCAAGTAATTTTCTCTTTCTTCAACTAATTATACACCAAAGTATGAAGCTTTACCCTTTCAATTTCTTCTTCTTCTTCCCATTTCTTCTCAAAAAAATACAAATCCATTTTAATCCAACACTTATCAATACATTTGCAAACTGGAAAAAAACAGGAGGACAGAAAACGTACCCGAAGTATAACCAGCAGCATCATAGGTGCTAGCAAATCTCAGATTTATTGATTAAGCAACCAAAACACAAAGTACTCTTTTAGCCGGGAAAGCCCCAACAAAGCACCATAACTGACAGCAAAATGAAATCTACAAAACTGTAAACCTGGAAATTCACATATGTCCATGCTTAAACATCAAGTTAATACTTAACAATCTACTAACATTGATGAATTAGCATTTAAGAACTCCTCCTAGATGACAATACAAACGAAAATTGGAGATTGCCCAGATGAGGAAGTTATCAAAGAATAGTAACCCAGAAATTAAAATTGAAAAAAGCTGAAAACTTTTGTAAGATTTGATGGAGACGGAGTGATCATAGTTCATACCATTTTCAAGAGAGAAAAAAATAGAAGTCACAATTGCTGCAACTGCTTTCTCTGAGTTCGTCGAGTTTCTGGGAAATTTATACTCTTTTAGCCGGGAAAGCCCCAACAAAGCACCATAACTGACATTAAAATGAAATCGTTAGGGTTTCATCTCAGTAGTAAAAGTAGATAAAAATGTAGAGATGCATCCCTAAAACCAAATAATAAGTAGGAAAAAGGTGAATCACTTACCAAACGCACTGAGGAGAAGTTAAGTTTCCTACGAGATAAAATACATAAAAATCAAAATTTGTTAAAAAATTACACAAAAATCAAACCCACAAGTAGAGTTCCCGCTGATTTGCAGTCTTTCCTGTTCTTTCTCCAGCGCCGCTGATGCTTGCACGGTCATAGGAACCTTGTCACTAGTCAAGAAAACTTGGATTGTTGAGGTGTCAGGCGAAAAAGCCCAGATCTGAGAGATCAGGAAAAGAAGAGAGATGGACCGAATCTGGCGAAGGTAGAGATAGAAAGGGGGTTGGAGTTGGAGAGAGAGACAGAGAGATAGAGTGACAGAGGTAAGAGAAAGGAGTCTGAGGGAGGCAGATATGAAAGAGATCGAGAACGAGAGAGAGATGGACTGAATCTGGGGAAGGTAGATAGAGAAAGGGGTTGGAGAGAGAGAGAGAGAGAGAGAGAGAGAGAGAGAGAGAGAGAGAGAGAGAGAGAGAGAGTCTAAGGGAGGCAGAGAGAGATGAGAGAATGGGAAGGAGGGGGTGCGGTGTGGGTGGGTTAAGGGGAAAGAGAGAAAATGGGGTGTGGAGCCATAAGTTTATGACAAATAATAAAAAACAAATAATTGTGCCCTTAGATGTAAAATATAGGCACAATAATATATTTGAGTTCACCTTTTTAAACAAAATTGTCAAAAAATGTGTTTGTGCCCTATTTTTTTGATATTGGGCACAATATGTAGTGTCCTTTATTGAATGAGCACTGTTTTAATCTTTTTGTGTTGAAAGACACACAAATCCCTCAATTGTGTCCATATTTTGTGCCCAAAGGCTATTTTTGTTGTAGTGAGCACTTTGAACAGAAAATTTTCCATTCCATTTGAAATGCCATACTAGTCGATCTTTGGTATTATGGATGCTAAGAGGAATACTTTTAATTACTTCCATGTACAGATATTTTTAGAAATTATGATTAAAAACAATAGATAGAAAGAAAAGTAATAAACCTCTATTGCCATGTACAAATTCACAACATTGTTCCAATTTTATCGGATGTCCCAACAAATTCATAATATGATTAGTAAGTAATTGCGTCGGTTTAAATTAATGACTTCTAAAATGATAGCTTCAAAAGAAAGTAAATGCTAGTATCGGTTTTCTATATGTATGCTAACGGTTGTTATTCACTATGTTGATAAATGTGGATCTATAACGGGTATCGTACTGATCTATAATTGAAAATCTTTGAAGTACGTGGAAATTAAATAACTGAAACAAAAAACTCTTTTGAGATAGCACTTAAGCAGTGAAAATGAATTGTATCATTGAATGTTTGTAGAAAACATGTAGTTTGTGTCCAAACCGTGTAAATTTGCATCAAGTTTCATAAAGAATGAATGAATATCTCCTCTGAGCAGTCATATCAAAATTCTTACCAAATACTCCATATTTTCTCTGAAAAAACCCACATGAAAGAATGAAAGAAAATAAAAATAGGAGGTAAAACATGATTTCATAAATAAAAGTAGAAACTGATTTTTGGACCTTTCCCTCTGTATTTTAATTTTAATTTTTAATATTTATTAGAAAAAAGACACATTTTATGAAACTTTTCCTCAATCCCTCACTTTCACTATCTGTTTTCCTTTCTCTCTCTTCAAGATGGCATTGAAACCCCACCCATAATTTCTCTCTCTCTCTCTCTCTCTCTGCCAGGAAAATTGAGCCGTTTCTCTTTAAAGGCCTCTGAGATCTACTGCGTGTGTAGGACTCTAGATTAGGAGATAGAGATTGGCAGAGAAACTGAAATAAAACAATATAACTGGAAGGGAAAGCTCACAGAGGAAGCTTGAGGTAAGCTATAACATTTCGAAAACCCTAAAAGCTTATGACCCCAAGGAACCAACTTTCTGTGGTTTTGACTTTGATTGATCAATTGATTGAACCCCTTTTGTATCTTCTTCCTCGGTTTTTGTGTAAATGGGCTTTTGGGTTTTGTCTGTCTTGGTGCCTCAGATCCATGGCAATGGATTCTGGTGTTCTTCTCATCGTGCTGGGATTCTAGGGTTTTGGGATGTCTTTCAACCGTTGAGTTATTGTTGTTTTGGAGCTTTTATGTGCATGTTGATTCTGTTTATGTTTGGTTTTGTTTTGTAATGTTGGGGAAGGATCTGACATGGGTTTGGAGATGGGTTTTTGCATTTCTGCTTCAGTATGTTTTGGAGTTTGGTTCCTATTGGATTCTTGTAGAGGTTGATTCAGTTGTTCTGTTCTAGTTTTTCGATTGACCAAATTTTTGAAAGATAAGAATGTTATGGAGGTGGAATTGTTTATTGTTAATGTGCATACTCATGATGTTAAAATTTGAATTAGTCATAAAAATAGGTTGTGATGTTACATTGATTTGGATACTAGCCCTTTTCTTTGGTGCATCAAACTAATGCGCTTTTGTGGATCAGGATTGACGCCAAAGGCAGAGTACCGAATGATTGGAGCGGTTGAAGTTCGTTCCATGGCTGGAGTTGAGACCGTTGTTAGTTGTGCTCTGTAATTCTAGTAGTTGGATCGAAGTTTCGCGAGGATTGGATGGACGCTCTGCTTATTCTCAGTAGATGAATGGAATGTTGAATGGGCTAAAGTTTACAATGCAGTAGCCATTTCAAAAAGTTAGGTTTGATCTGCGCAAGTGTATTGGAATAGCCTGCGCAACTCACCATCGTCATTGGTTGCACTTTCTTAACCTATTTGTGTCCTCCAAAGACAGTAAATTGGGTTCATGTATTGTGGCATAATCAGTTGGTGCTAGTTCTTTTTTCTCTCCTGCAGTTAAAGTGCTTCTATCTTTCCTTTCCTTTTCAAGCAGTGGCTACCTCAGCTTGCGAGTCTAGTTTTGCAGAGTAGTTCAGGAAGGCCATTTGTAATCCATTGCACTGGAAATTTGGTTCTCCTAGAGTCCATAGCTATGGAATCCACCAATCCTAATGCTAACATTATGCCGGGTGTTCTACAGCGGTTGCTTCCTGTTGTTGGACCTGTTCTTGTGATTTCAGTTGGATATATTGACCCTGGAAAGTGGGCAGCAACTGCTGAAGCAGGTGCCCGTTTTGGCTCTGACCTCGCAGCATTGATGCTTATTTTCAATTTTGCAGCTATTTTATGTCACTATTTGTCAGCTCGGATTGGTGTAGTCACCGGAAGAGATCTTGCACAGGTATCATTTTTTTCATTTAAGGGGTTTTTAATGCATTATTCTTCTTATAAGTGGTAGTGGTGGAGACGCTACTACTTATGCATATACTCTGTTTGCGGTCATGCTTTCGAGCTGTGTCCTAACCAGGATAACTTTTCTGGTTGCATATTCTTATTTGATTGGCTGCAGTTGGTTTTTTTGATCTCTCTGCCTCTCTTTCTCTTTCATACAAACAATCATGTGCACATAGCCTCTATGTTAGCCGCCAAGTTTTAACATTTTCTTTTTGTTTCTTAAATTTTGTTAATGTCAAAAGATATGCAGTGAGGAGTATGACAAGGGCACATGCATATCCTTAGGAATTCAAACAGAGGTTTCTGCGATTCTGTCAGACCTAACCATGGTAATTTCTCTATGCTCAGAAGCTTTTTCTACCCCAATTTGTCCAAACTGTGCTGTAGGTCTTGCATTTTGTTATGATCTGTATTATTGTTGAATATAAATTTGTCATTCTCGTAACATATGATTGCACTAATTTTACTAGATCCTCGGCATCGCACATGGGCTTAATCTTCTGTTTGGTTGGGACTTGTTCACTTGTGTCTTTTTGACTGCCGTTAATGCCATTTTGTACCCTCTTTTTTCCTCCTTCCTGGTAAGTTTTGTTACTTGCACTTATTTCTCTGTAGTCTCACATTTGCAATATTGTTTAAAATAATTATTGAGTATCCATACACCAGGAAACTTGCAAGGCGAAGGTCCTATGCATATATGTTGCAGGATTCATACTCCTTTCCTTTGTTCTTGGAGTAATTATCAGTCAACCAGAAATGCCCCGTTCCATGAATGGGATGCTAACAAAGCTGAGTGGGGAGAGTGCATTTGCGCTGATGAGTCTTCTTGGTGCAAGCATGATGCCTCACAGTCTTTATTTTCATTCTTCTATAGTGCAGGTATCTGTGCTTCTCAAACTTTGTTGTTTTCAGTCTCTGCATTTATGTTGCACATCCATGCATATATTGCTGAATATGAGCTTATGCATGCATCTGTATCTTTGTTAAATAATACATACATACACACATTGATTCTCTTGTTGTACATCTGTCTATCTGTCTATTTGTCTGTCTGTGCATCTTTGGCTTATTTAGATATACATTTAATGCATGGATATGCAGTGCCCATCTTTTTCTTGTTTTAAAGATTAATTGCTTTTTAGGACATGTTGCTGAGTCATCTATTCCTTTCGTTTGAAAGAACTTCTTCACAAACTAATGCAATTAAGGTCAAATGGTTCCATTTTTTATTGTCATTGCAGTGTGTTAGAGACCGCCGAGTTACACATGCCCATACTTCTTTCCTAAATAGAAAAGAAAAAGTTCCATTAACGGGAGATTGATATTCTCTTTCTGGACTAGGGAGGCCAAAAGTAATCAATTTTAACATGTGCATCAACTTATAAACTTGCATCACTAAGTTCTTTCTCCTCCTGTATCTTGTCTGTTAACTACCTGAAAATTGTTCATATGATAGTTGATTTGCAGTGAAGGTCTCTGAAACTCTAATTTTCTATTTTTTCAGCAATGTCAGCAGCAGGCAACTGTTCCCAAGGGTGCTTTGTGTCATAACCATTTAGTTGCCATATTATGCATCTTCAGTGGTGTTTATATGGTGAATTATGTCTTTATGACCTCAGCGGAAAATTTATTCTACAGTCCAGAGGCAAGTTCTGGCCTTGTTGTGCTTACGTTTCAGGATGCAATGTCGCTAATGGAACAGGTTGCACTTTCTTCCCCTGGGCCAATTTAATCTTGCACCATCATGCAGTATACTGAGCCAATTTAATATTTTTCTGAAATTATGTAGGTCTTTTGGGGTCCAATAGTACCGGCTTCCTTCTTACTGGTTCTCATTCTGTCAAATCAAATCACAGCATTAAGCTGGAGTCTGGGTGGAGATGTAGTCCTGAATGAATTTTTGAAAGTGGACCTTCCTGGTTGGCTTCATTGCGCTACTATCAGAATTATTGCCATTGTTCCAGCCCTTTATTTTGTTTGGAGTTCAGGAGCCGAAGGAATGTATCAACTGCTTATATTCACACAAGTTTTGGCAGCTCTGCTACTACCATCTTCTGTGATCCCTATTTTTAGAATTGCTGCTTCAAGACCAATAATGGGTGCCCATAAAATTTCACAATTTGTTGAATTCTTATCCCTAATTACGCTTATTGGGATGCTTGGATTGAAAATTATATTTGTAGTAGAAATGATTTTTGGGAATAGTGAATGGGGTGGTAATTTAAGGTCGAATGGCGGGAGTAGTATGTTACTATTCCTCACTGCTTGTGCATCATTTGGTTTGATGATTTGGCTAGCTGCTACCCCATTAAAATCTGCAAGTGTCCGATTAGAGGCTCAGGTGTGGAACTGGGAACTGATGGAGGGTACACCAGATTCATTGACGAATGAAGAAGAGATTAACAGAGCTGAACCTCAATATCATAGAGAGGCAAGTGTCCAGAGCCATGAACCGTCACCATCATTTGGGTTGGATGCTGATTCAGAAGTTGCAAATTTTGATCTGGATCTAGCTGATACTATCATGGAGGCTGATCAGGAACTTCACCAAACAACTGTAGCAGAGAATAATAATTCTCATATTACCTTTCCTTGCTCCCCTAAAAGCCGCATGGAGGGATCCAGATCTGCAGTGGAGTCATTTCCAGTCTCAACTGTTGTTAATGATGTTTCTGATGTCACATTGGAGGACACCAGTGCACTGAAGTTCAAGTCAACAGAGTCAATTGAGAAGACTGTTGAAGCTGAAGCAGACTTACCAACCGAAAAAGATGATGATGAGGGAGATACCTGGGAGCCTGAAGAATCATCAAAAGGGGTTTCTGGGAGCACTGTGCCATTGGCCTCTGAGGGCTCGGGATCATTTAGGAGTCTAAGTGGAAAAGGCGACGATGGAGGAAGTAGTGCAGGAAGCCTTTCAAGATTAGCAGGGTTGGGGCGTGCTGCAAGGCGTCAACTAGCTGCTGTGCTTGATGAATTTTGGGGACAACTGTATGATTTCCATGGGAATGTAATTCAAGATGCAAAGGCTAAAAAGTTGGACCTTTTGTTGGGATCAGATTCAAAGTCTGTGTCGTCCTTGCTGAAAGTTGATACCAGTCCAAAGGAAACTTCTGGATTCTTTCCATCTGCAGGAGGCAGAGGATCTGATTCTCTAATCAGCTCAAGTTTATATGAGTCTGCAAAGCAGCATAGGGTTCAAAGCAGTTTAGAGTCATATGCGGTCCAAAGGGGATCTTCCTCATCGTTGCCTAGCCGCATGCAGTTGTTAGACGCCTATGTGCAAAATTCAAGCCACAGCATTATTGGCTCTGGTGAGAGGCGCTATTCAAGTGTACGCAGTATCCCAACTACTGAAAGTGGTGAGAGGCGCTATTCAAGTGTGCGCAGTATCCCAACTTCTGAGAGTGGTGAGAGGCGCTATTCAAGTGTGCACAGTATCCCAACTTCTGAGAGTTGGGATTACCAGCCAGCCATAGTACACGATTATCAGATTGCATCATATCTCAATCGAATGGAAAATGACAAAAGTTCTGATAACTTGAATGGTCAAATGGAGCCATCAGTCCTACAGTCTGGTTCTTCGTTGGGTGCTGGAAACTACAGAGATTCACTTGCATTTACCATGGGGCAGAAGTTGCAAACTGGGTTAGGATCTGGTCAGGCCTCCAGTTTTCAGAACTTTACAGTATCTAGAAATAGTCCAATGCAATCTGAAAGGCCGTATTATGATCCACGGTCTTCTGGAATTGCTGAGAATGTGGTAAGTCCAGCCAATGCAAAGAAATATCATAGTTTACCAGACATTCACCGGGAGCTTTACATGCCTGATAAAAATGCTAACTGGGAAAGTCCTCTTGGGTATGGATCATCTGCTGGGATGACCGGTTATGAATCATCCTTGTATTCAAATTCTGGGGTACGAACAGGAGCTCCTTTGGCATTTGATGAACTCTCTCCAAAAGTCTACAATTCTCTGTCATCACAACAGAGTTCTACTTTCAACACTGGGTCGCTCTGGTCTAGACAGCCTTTTGAGCAATTTGGTGTGGCTGATACTAATCGTACTATTGGTAGTGGAATTGGTAATAGGGTAGGTTCTGTAAATCAAGAAACAACTTCAGTTGCAGATTCAGAGGCGAAGCTTCTACAGTCTTTCAGGCATTGCATTGTGAAGCTTTTGAAATTGGAAGGGTCTGACTGGTTGTTTACGCAAAATGATGGGGTTGATGAGGATCTAATTGATCGTGTGGCTTCAAGGGAAAAATTTCTTTATGAAGCTGAAACTAGAGAGATAAACCGAACAGGTCAAATGGGCGAGCCGCAGTACCATTCTTCAGATAGGAAGCCTGCTTCTGCAATGAAGAATAATGATTTGAGTCAGTTTATGTTTTCCTCGGTTCCTCATTGTGGGGAGGGGTGTATATGGAAGGCAGATTTGGTAGTAAGCTTTGGGGTTTGGTGCATCCACCGCATTCTTGATTTATCACTTATGGAAAGCCGGCCAGAGCTATGGGGGAAATATACCTACGTTCTCAACCGGCTTCAGGTAAACACTTACATTCCCTGTCTAATAAAATACATTTGTGTCTCAAATGCGGCTATAACAGAAATGAAATCAAACCACAGCATGAATTGAAATCCTAGAATAAATTAAATTTCCGTAGCTAGTTAAGTAAACCCTAAATAGACTGAATTGGTTCTGACACTCTCCTCAAGCTGGAGTGAAAAGCTTGCCTTGAACACAACTTAGAAAACAACCCTTTGTTGCAAGCTAAACAACCCTTTGTTGCAAGCTAAGTCGAATACAGTTTTTACTTTTTGGTGAATTTTGCAGGAGTTTGTCTCCTTGCATTGCACTTGTGCTCTGTATACAAGTAGATTGACTTCAAATGTATATTTGTTTCCAAAGCTTCTAATTCAGTAATGTTACTGACTCTGTATCGTGTTAATGCTAGGGGATTATTGATTCGGCATTTTCAAAGCCTCGTTCTCCGATGTCACCATGCTTCTGCCTTAAAGTTCCCGCTGCACACCAGCTGAAATCAAGTCTATCATTTTCAAATGGAATACCTCCTGCTGCTAAACCAGCCAGGGGAAAATCCACAACTGCAGTAACGCTTCTAGACATAATCAAGGATGTGGAGATTGCAATCTCTTGTCGAAAGGGCCGGACAGGGACAGCAGCCGGTGATGTAGCTTTCCCAAAGGGAAAAGAAAATCTGGCATCTGTCCTCAAACGCTACAAGCGTAGATTATCCAACAAAGCCGTTGGCACTCATGAGGGTCCTGGTTCGCGCAAGTCTCTGACATCTGCTCCTTATGGGTAATAGCTTTCGGTTTCATACAGACACAGTATGTCTCAACTGGTTTATGGAGCTGTTTGATTTTGGAAAACAGCTCATCTTCTGGATCAAAACACTCAGTTAAGACCGTTTCTTTCTCTCTCGTTCTCTGTATCAAAGTCGTTGCTGCAATTTGTATTTCCTTGTATTTTAACATATACATAGGTAAGAATTGCTGGATCTGTAATTGCAGCATCATCAAAGAAAATGGGTGGAAGGTTGAAAATTGGTTTTTGCAAATTTTTAGATGCTTTGCTTGCTTGCTTGCTTGCTTCTGTTACTTGTTCTAACAAGATTGAAATTTGCAAAACCCCGGAACCCCTGGGGTTTTCAATCATCTCTCTTCCATTGCAGGAAGTTATGTATGGCTGGGATGTAATCCAAGATGTTTGACATGAATGCAAATACTAATGTGCCAGTTGACAATACTGACATAAAAATACTTTTGATTTTGAGTATCTGGACCATTTTGGTAACCTGTCTCCATAATTTTGTGCACTGAGTTGAGTTGTGCACCAGGGACTGGTACCTTGGTTAATAGCAATTTACAATCTGCATTCGAGGTTCGTGTTTGTATTACCCCTCTCCGTTGGGGTTTGTGCGAGTCGGGGAAGAATAATCACTCATTTCTCTCCTACACTTCTTTCTTTATTTTTTTACTAATCATATTGAATAAAATCAAATAAAATAACGATCAAAATTAAATAGCTTGAAAGTGGTGATTATTTTTTACCACCAAAAATTAACTTGAAAGTCACTAATTTTAACACTTTTTTTTTATTAATAAAACGATAATACTACTTTAATTTACATTGCAAAAGAGAAATGATTTGAATTCGAAACAAAATGGATTAAAAGAAAAACTTAAGACTACCACATCATTTAACCGCTTGCTGACACTCATCTTTTTAATAGAAGGCAAGAAAAATAGTAAATTAGTCTCCAATCCTTTTCAAAGAAACGAAAGAGCAATCAACCGATATTATATTATAATATTGCAAGTGGAGCAAGTAAGACTTTAGTTTGATTTAAGTCGTGCTTTTTTTAAGATTACAAGATACATAACGTTATATAACCCCAACAACGAGTGGAGTGTATATTTCTTGGTTTGCTCCCTCTCACGTTGCCCCATATCCACGGTCAGGTTTCTGAGACGTGGAGAGCTTACAGGCCCCCTCCTAAGGTCAGCCGAGTGACTTGGTTGGACATGAATACGATACACACATCTTCTTGGTCATCATCATCATCATCATCATCATCATCATCATCATCATCATCATCTCTTTCTGTCTCAGTCTACTGTGCTCTAGTTCCAGACTTCCAGAGATTAAACCCCAAGAGGTAAGTCCTCTACATGTGCCATGATTTTAGAGCATGTTTACTTGTCGAAAATACGAAAACGGAATCGTTTTGAATTTTGAGTTTTTTGCGTGCGCTTATTAAAATGAGTATGAGTATCGTTTCACTTCTAGGGAATCAGAAATGTGTGAGTTTCCATTGAAGTCCGCAATCAAATATTTACAAAGCAAGAATTTAATCAACTAATGGGTAAATTCATCTTATTCTGTCTTTTCTTGTTTCTTATATTCCTAAGTTCTCTGACTAGATAACCCTTTTCTTAGTTTTTTTATTAGCAACTCTGTCCATTATATTTGAACTCAGGACCAAAATCCAAAATTTGCTCTGCTCTGATACAGCAGAAACTGAATGTCAATAGACAAAATATTCATCGGCGTAGCGGTTTTAACTAATCGTTCACAACTTAGAAACGAGTACTGAACAGGTATTTGTAGTTGATGAATCCATGTTTCATTTAACTTTGACTCTGAGGGCATGGTTTGTGATATGCAGAGACTTGTTAGCTTCAAAACAAAATGGGATTTGTAGTTGTGATTTCAGCGCCGGTGATACTGTTAATATTGGTTTTAGCTCTTGCTTTTTACCTCCTTGGAAGGGCATCTGGCCGAAGGGAATCACCTTCTGCTCCACAATATTTTGGACCTCCGGTCCCTCCAACCCAAGAGAAGTCCGCCAAGGTCTAGAAGTAAAATACTCGCTTCTTCTGTTATGATATCAGAAGTCATTTCACTTTTTGAACGAGTCACACTTTGATATGTGTGTATAAATTTCTGTTTGTTCTTATTTATAATGAGTGTACATATTTATATGTGTACATCTATATATGAGTGTACAATTTGATATGTGCCTCCTGTTTAGATTAGACCAGCTCTCATAGATGATGCTGATGGAGTTCTTCGGAATCGTTTTGTGTATGCTTCTGTTTTGTAGTTTGCCTTTTGAGTTGTATTCACCATTCTTCAAAAAACAAAAAAAAAAAAGAAAAAAAAAATTGAATATAAAATTACAGTTCAGCAAGTAAAGCAGTGTTGTATAAAATGTGTGCCCATTGTCACCAAGACATCTATGTATGATCGTAGGACTTTAATTCCACATTGTACAAATGCTTCTTAATTCTTTGTGTTTCTCTTGTTACATGTTCTAGTAACATGGAAAATGAATAATCCAAAGGTATATGGTGAGGCGAGCAGAGTAGAACTATATAGAATGTCAACCGTTAACCCAAATTTTTAATACCATTTGATGCGGTACATTATACAAGAGTTGCTCATCAACTATAATGTATCGCGTTGAAATGATGCCACGATTTGAAAAGTTGGAATATAAGTTGCTCATCAACTATAATGTTTCAAGTTTTATACATTTGTGAGGTTTAGATTTAGTTGCTTTTGGCTTTCCTTTGTTACGTAGATTAGACTTTATGATACTTAGTATTGAAGTCCGAGCAATTGAAGATTAAAGTTCATATGGTGTTGCCTCATCACATGTAAGGTTTGTACATGCATATGTATTTTACGTTTTTTTATTATTTTATTTTTATGCAGTATGACTAGTGAGTCGACCAGTTAGTTTTGCCCGCTATTTCATGTGAGTAGGTAAGCAATTTAAGAGTTGGTTTGGTATTGCTGTTCTTTGAAAAAAAAAACTGTTTTTGCTTTTCAGTTTTTTTTTTCACAAAAAACTGTGAAAATAAACTGTTTTTAAGTGTTTACCAAACACTTTTTTGAGCTTAGCTTTTTTTTATATCCATTTTTTTATAAAAGTACCTCAGTACAAAATCAGTACTAAGACAGCCCACATGGGCTAATTAACTAACACCTTTTATCCGAGTGAGCTTTTCACCTTTGATTTGTTAAGATTGCATTTAATTTTGACTAAGTGTCCTTTTGTACTCTTGGCTACAGCAATCAAGGCTTTGTGTTAAAAGGTTCCTAGGTTTCCATCACTCCTTGGTTAGACAGATTGGATTTGTAGAGAGTGCATTTGTGCTTTTTCCATGCATTAAACCTGCTAACTCACCCTCATCATTTCAGAAAAAGGTTTGCATTTTTCGTGGTCAACTATTATTGTTGTTATTGTTGTACAAGGTGCTATTTTATTATGAGAAGATATAACTAATTCTTTTGTTTTAATTAGCTTTGGATTTATAATTAAAACATATTTAGTTTTACCTCTTCCCTTTGGAACAACCCTCTTGTATTATCTGTTTGAATGTTATTTTGATCCAACCTTTTATCATAAGCTCAACTTATAATGTAGACTTTCTAATGTTTCTTTTTGCATAAAATTTCATGGCTCTATACTTTTGACACAACTGTACACATTTTCTGGTAAATTATGTATCATGACTAGTAGTTGTTGAACAACTCATCTAATGGCCTCCAATAACTTCAATTTTGAATATGATACACCTATATTTCTCTTGTTATACACTACAAAGTTTCATATTTAATGACCTGAGTTGTATTTACATGAATTCCGAACTAACATGAGCTAGTGCATAAGTCTATGCTACCGGTTTTCTATTCGTTCAACTCACTTATTGTCACAACCCGTCCCGAAATATTATATTTTTAGGCATGAAATTCTGAACATGTCCTTGGACGTTTTGAGTTGCGTTGTGTGGTTTAGACTTGGGTTGTGGACCAATATGTTAAGTTCTAATTATTTTGGACCAATTAGAACTAAACCTTCCTGGTTTGTGGTTGGTGGTTGTTGCCAACTTGGACCACACATTCACTCACACACATACACATCACGTCCGTGCTCTCTCTTTCTTCTCCCTCTCGGACTTCTTTCCATTTTTTGTACAAACCGTACGGACGAACTTCGAACTCAAGCTTTCATGCACGGATCGACGTCAATAAGGTAATTTTTGAACTCCTTGCAAGCTTCTGAGTTCATTCATACTAATTTTAAGATGTGAAACCTTCGATTTCACTAGGACTGAGAATCCCTGATTCGGGGTACTATTCATGTGGTCATAATTATGGAAGTTTTAGGAGACTTGAAGCTTATAGGAAGCTTTAGAACATCCTTACAAAGCTCGGAGAAGAAAAACCAAGTAAATTGGATGTCAGAAAGTCGAGTTTGGCGAGTTTCAAGTTTTGGCCGGATTATCGAGGCTTCTCCGGCGAAATCCCATGAATTTCAAGACTTGAAAGTGGTAAGGTTTTGTTCCTCTCATCCTAAGCTTCATTTTGGTACAAATTTCATGGATTTTGGTTGAGAAATGAAGAAGTTATAAGGTTTTAAAGTTTTTCCAGTTTCTGGCGACGGTGAAGGTTGTCGGAGTTCGAAGGTAGGAGACGACAGAATATTCCATCAAAATTGATGGAATATTCCTAATGGCGTTGGTTAGTTTTAACGACATATTCTAGTTTTTAACGGAATATTCCCTAACGCCGTTAGGGAAACCGTTTGGTGTGCGAGGCACGTGCTTGCGAGTGAGCCGTGCGTCTGGCTGTGCCTTGGCCTGTGCGTGAGGGCGCGTGGGTGGTCGGAAATTTTTTCTAAAAATATGGGGATGTTCTGGAGGATGAGTAGATCATGGTGGTATATTTAAATACCCCATTTGAGCATTGCATGAGAAGTTATTACCTAGTTTTGGTTATGTGCTTTAAATAACGTTTATTCAGTTATTTTGCATATAGGTGAGACCTATCTTGAGGACGAGCGCCATCAATCAAGGCTCGGGGGCTACGACCCTTCGACATATCAGTGAGTGGACTTTTGGTTTTCCGTATATACCTATATACTTGAGTTTTTCCCAGAAAATATGTTTAAATGAATATATGTTTTGGAAATGCCATGCAAGTATTTATCTATTTTAATTATGCATTAGTAGTTGCATACATTCATGATTGGTGCTGCGAATGCATAGGTAAGTGCCAGGTAAGTTCATAAATCAAAGGTATGAGATTGTTCCGGTTCTGTGAGATATGTTGCAATGTATTAAGAGCTCATAAACCTACACCTCGGTGTTAGAACTCCCGCCCAGAGTTAGGGCACAGTCATTCACGTGATGTTCACCTCCCACACCATATGCACACCTTGGATCCAAGTCAGGTGCCCAGGCTTGTCATACATACCACTTTAGGTGGTTTCGACTCGTAGGTGACCTACGATCATTCACACAGCCTTCACGTGATCATAGCACTAGAGCATATTTACTTTACACCTAGTTTTGTCGTACAGGCCACTTGAGGTGGTTCCGACTCGTGTGCAGTAAATGGATTTGATTTGATATGATTGAGAATGGTTATGAGCTATATACTGAGCAATGCAGTACGAGTTAGAGAGATTTGGCTGATGCGATATTTGATATTTATATATTTTGCCTGGTTTCCTTATAGCATTGCATTAAGATACTTTGGCATGGCATATTTATGAATATCGTTTTCTGAGCATAGTTTTCAGATATGTATATATTCTATTTTTCTGGGAAAATTATACAGGTTTTATGGCGAGGGGTTAGAACTTTTGAGAAATTAAATGATTTTGAAAAGCTTTGTTTTTGCCCACTCACACTTTCTGTTTCGTGCCCCTCCAGGTTTTAAGTAGAAGTGCTTTGGTGGATCACGAGGATTCTGACAGGGGTTCTAACAGAACATCACCATGTAGGATCACCCTCGGGTGTTGTATTCTTAGTACTTGTCCTGCTTGACTACGCTTAGACTATTTATGCTCTGGTTGTGTATTTCACACTTAATCTCGTACTAGCACTCTATCTTAGCTAGTACTCTAGTTGATTTGGCTTTTATTCTCTCGTATTCCCTTATATCTCTAATGTTTCCGCACTGTGCACATGGTTACGTCACTCCCACGTGACGGTCATCATGCCTTGATTTAAGTCAGGGTGTGTCAGTTTGGTATCAGAGCTTTAGGTTTGCAGTCTTGCATATCTTGAGAAATTCTAATTATTTTGATGTCCGCAGCACCAATCGATCATGGTGGTATATTTAAATACCCCATTTGAGCATTGTATGAGAAATTATTACCTAGTTTTGGTTATGTGATTTAAATAACGTTTATTCAGTTATTTCGCATATAGGTGAGAACTATCCTGAGGATGAGCGCCATCAATCGAGGCTCGGTGGCTATGACCCTTCGACATATCAGTGAGTGGGGTTTTGGTTTTCCGTATATGCCTATATACTTGAGTTTTTCCTAGAAATTATGTTTAAATTAATATATGTTTTGGAAATGCCATGCAAGTATCTATCTATTTTAATTATGCATTAGTAGTTGCATACATTCATGATTGGTGCTGCGAATGCATAGGTAAGTGCCAGGTAAGTTCATAAATCAAAGGTATGAGATTGTTCCGGTTCTGTGAGATATGTTGCAATGTATTAAGAGCTCATAAACCTACACCTCGGTGTTAGAACTCCCGCCCAGAGTTAGGGCACAGTCATTCACGTGATGTTCACCTCCCACACCATATGCACACCTTGGATCCAAGTCAGGTGCCCAGGCTTGTCATACATACCACTTTAGGTGGTTTCGACTCGTAGGTGACCTACGATCATTCACACAGCCTTCACGTGATCATAGCACTAGAGCATATTTACTTTACACCTAGTTTTGTCGTACAGGCCACTTGAGGTGGTTCCGACTCGTGTGCAGTAAATGGATTTGATTTGATATGATTGAGATTGGTTATGAGCTATATACTCAGCAGTGCAATATGAGTTAGAGAGATTTGGCTGATGCGATATTTGATATTTATATATTTTGCCTGGTTTCCTATAGCATTGCATTAAGATACTTTGGCATGTCATACTTATGAATATCGTTTTCTGAGCATAGTTTTGCAGATATGTATATATTCTATTTTTCT